AGATATTCAGTGTAAACTTTAGACTCTGTGTAGGATTTGTGAAAAATAACAAATGTAGAAAATCACTGGCCATATCTTGGGCTAAGAAGAAAATGCTCAGCCAAGATCTGGAAAAAGTTACGCATTAAATTCCAAAGAGCTCTTACTCCTGTGCACTAGCATGTATTGCACGGCAATCTTCTCAGCTCATGTTCAGCTGGAAGTCTTCAGCTAACAAATCAGGACATTTATAATAAGAAAAAGCGCTCCGTTAAACAAACAGTCATATCCACGACTTAAAAAACAAAACAAAAACTAATGTGATCCATAAACTAACTTTAGTGGACTGAGCAGATAAGAGTCCCCCTCGATCCTCCAGTGTTGCCATGTTGGAACGAGGTCATTTCAAGTAAAACACGCTCATGCGAACCTCAGACAGAGAGATTAGAAAATTGGTCACTAGGCAACAAATTCAGTGACAGTGATCACAAGTCTGAAAACAATGATTAAACTGCTACGGAGCTGCGTCAGAAAGGGGTTTCTATAGCCATGGCCAAAAGACAATAATTGCAAGTGAGAGGTGCTTCATAGCTAATATTAAATCAATGAAAATGTTATTTATATAGCTACACCTTTCATACAGGCTCATGCAACTCAAAGTGCATTACAGAATATTGTGTTCCAAAGGCATAATACTTTACACAGTCTGCCAACATATAAAACAAGAAGCCACATAGGACATATAGCAGGCATTGCAATAACAAAACCCACAAACGGTTTCCATCATCTGTTTGAGTCATTTACTGGGTTAGACAGAAGAGGATCTAGAAAAACAAGAATTTAAAGATTGTTGAATTCTTGGACTGAAGCATCCCTGAACCGATGTGCAATCTCTCTCTGATCTTATTTCTCAAGAACCTGTGTCGTCCAGCCAATTTTCCCACTACCAGGAAAAACATGTAGCACTTTGTTTATGAAATGTGGATTACGCAAGTGAGACTGATGTCATACAACTCTTAAACTAAAAAACACTCTTCTCATTCATGTGAGCACAACCCGCTGCTCGGGCGCCGGGTTAAGCGCTGGAGTTAACTCCAAAGCACATCTGTGTAGTTGGGTTTTTGTGCAGTCACGCCTGCTGGGTGGCCCACCGTGAAAGCACTTAAGATACTGAATCAGCAACAATCCAGCCTGGTCATCATCAGCTTGAGTTTGGTTGAATCCATCGCATCACAGCACAACACTGTCAAGCTTCATCACCCAGTAGAGCCAGTAAAACTGCGCAGTGTGGACCCCGCCAGCTATCCAGCCAAGTCTAGCTTTACTTGTGGGGAAAGATGTTGTCTAACTACCCAGGCTCCATAGCAGTTTCACTATGGTCCACATCAAAACTAATACAAGAGTTATGAAATATAATATTATTAAACAAACCTTTGAATTCCACATTAAACTATCCAAAGTACAGAAAAAGCTAAAATCTTCTAACTGCTGTTAGTCATGTAGACCAGCTTAGGTTTTTGAGATCTCACCTCTGAGATTTTTGTTGGCAACCTGTACCAGACTGGTTCAAGACCTCTGAACTGCTTCCCACAACTGTGATTTGATGTCATTCAAACAGCTCGGCTGGAAAATCTACAACTACAGAATCTTGAGAATGGGGATTCATCCTCCTGTGCCAGAGGCAGAACAAAAGCAACAGAATCACTGTCACCAAATAGCCACAATCTGGTGACATTAAAGCTTCATACTGTATCTATTTGTTCTTTAATCAGATTATCAGACCAATGAATAACTGAAAAATGGGGGAGTTCACGTTTGCAGAGGTGAATAACCCACAGACCTCCATGTCAACACTTTCTTAATAGCTCTGAAAACTGCAAAATCTGCAGATTATCTGAAGTAACCAACACTCTGATGCTGCTGCATAGTTTTAAAGTTAATGCTTAAAGCACCACAAGCAAATCACCTCCATTAGATCAGTGTCAGCAAGGAACATCTAAAAATCTGTCCAAATAACACCAGAACTATCTGCATGATAAAACACATCAAGTGAGAACATCTGTTTTGTATAGTGTGGGTGAACCAGCATTTTCCATATATGCCCTGAACTACTCTACCAAACTACTGCACAGTCAACCTTAGAAACATAAAAGCTGATGTATATACATATATATACGAGCAGACTGAGGACTTCTGATATTTTTCCTTGCAGAACGTGTACAAATGTGAATACACAAACTCATGCCTGACTTGAAGCGAACATCTAAAACACTTGAGAGCTGAGTGGATAAACTCAGCATGGCTTAGCACACAGACATTTTCAATATCTCCAAAAATACAAGTAATAAAGCATAAACAAGAAAAACACTGAGCGATGTGCTGAATTGGAGCCTCTGTAATCACAGCCAGAGCAATCAATGCACCATGGCCAGGACTCAGAGTTGGACAGCGAGCAGCACGATGACTCACAGCAGAACAAAGGAAAACACACATTTTTCATTCTAGCATTCTGCTGTTTTTCTAAAAGAGGATGCAGCGAGGTCGATGTTGGCCCTCTCTGGAGCCAGAAGACTTCCAGTATGTGTCACAGTGATTCAGAGCCATATGCAGAACTTCTTCATCCAGCATGTCTACAGAAAATGGAGTCTGACATTCCCAATATTGTGTGTTGTTCTTGTAAGTGAGCCAAAACTTGCTGTGAATGGAGAGCTGAACAAACAGCCATTATGTGAGGGAAGACACCCTATCAGATGACAGTTTGCAGGTGTGTCATTACCGCTGGTCAGAATATCCCTTAGGGACATGCTGCATGGAGTCAAAATACAAAAAGGTCACTCACTCACAGTAGTTCCACTGCAATTTCAGAGCTGTTATTTTTAAATCTAAAATCATTTTTCATTGAAATCTTGAGTTAATAGGAACTCCTTAAACATTTACAGTACAACATCTTAACTACAAACAGCTGCTATACAGATAGAATGTAAGTCAAGGCACCTAGAAGACATTTAATGTCCAAGCTTGATAAATAATGGAGCGTTATAGTGGTTCCATATATCATCCAGTCATATTTGACTTTAACAAGGTACTGGGACTTGAGTTAGAAAAACAATGCATGGAAACATCGCTCCACTAGTGGCAATATGAGAAAATATAATGATGCACTCATGAAATGACAGGAGAGTACAGTATATGTGTGTGTAAATGCACTGCTACTGTCCATCTCTGCATATAAAGGGCCACGTTTCCTCCACTGGTACACAGTAGTGGACAAATTATGCCTGACAGTATTGTCCAGTATAGACATCTTGTTGGGATACTGGGCATAAAAAAAACAACTTTGCTCTTATGCTATTCCACAACAAAGATTATAATAAAAGGCTAAGAACACATGTTTAAAATAAGGTACAAAGTGTAACTGCACTGTACAATCCACGGGAACAACCGTCTCAACTTGGATTTGTTCACACTCTCATGATATTTTACGGTTCAGCTGCATGCACCGTTATATCCCAATTAAAGACTTGCTGAATTTCACTTAGCTTCCACATGCCAGCACTAACTGGTAGGTTGACTACAGCAGATGGTGGCCTTCATCATCTTATAAGACAGTGTTTGATTGCAGGAACCCTTGCAGGAGACCAACCTGCTGTTGACCTACACCTTTCTGTCCTCCCACTAATGCTCTGAGCAGAAATCCTCACTTTACGTTGAACGCTGGAACGCAGTGATTTGTGCCTTGTCTGGGATGCATTCCTCTCTGCCTGTCACTGGTTAGTCCAAAACTGGCTCAGCATCTTTCAGAGCGGTCACAGCTACTCCTTCAGGTCTGGCATAAGACCAACAATAAGTCACTCCAGCAGTGTTCTGTGTTATCTTATCTGTCTTTACCTCCCCTTCAGCATTAAGCTGTTATTAATGTTAAACACTGATTTTTTTTAAATCTTGTAAAGCTATCCCCCCCTCCACACACACACACACACATTCACTCTGCATTTCATCAGAAACACAAGCAAGTAATCTTTCATTAGGACAACAAATCGTGCTGCAAGCGTGCACAGCCTGGAGGGGGTTGTAGGTAACAAGCAGGCATTCTGAAAACATTCTTTTCTGGTAACAAAGTCCCTGTAAATTAAAACCACTTGCTCTTTTACTCCCAACAATAAGCCAGGCAAGGAATGTGACTCCTCAGCTGGAAATGAAACTGTTCATAAATGTTTTCCTCTTGAATATGAAAAAAGCACATTAATAAAAGCAGAAACAACCACTGAGCGCAGATGAACAATACGATTAAGAAGGTTATTATAAAAATTAAGAGCTATAACATTTTTTTGTAAAATCACCTCCACTTGAGATTGTTTTTCTGTTCCCCCCCCCATTTCCCTGGCACATTGCTGACACAGCATAGTGGAGTCATGGACCCTGAAGACCCACACTGCCTACGCCCTCTCCACCTCTCTCTAGTGTGGACACAGGAAGCAGCTCAGCAACTTCTCAGGTTTGGACACAGTCTCTGCGGGACAATAGACCTCTTGTGTAAAATCAGATGTCAAAATGAGTCAAGGACCTAGTTTCTCTCCATAATGAAGACATGTAAGAGGCAGGGCAACATACATTTCTGCCAGTACACAAGTATGTGTAGTAGACGGTCTGACATTTTGTAAAACATACTTTTGTAGAAGAGCAAGATGAGAAAGTCAATACCACTCTAATTTCTGCACAGTGAGCATGGCACCAGAGACGGAGCGCAATGAGCTTAGCTTAGCATGAAGACTAGAAGCAGGTGGAAACAGCTAGTCATGGCTGTTCAGCAGTACATCTACCAGTACCAGCACACACAAAGAATAAGTTTGTTTCTGGGAAACGAGGTGTGGGCGCCTTTTAACCTTGGGGATTATTTACGTAGGTGGGTTACAGCCAAACCAGACCTCATTTGGATAGTTGATCTGACTGATGAGTCATAAGGGATATAAACTAGTGAAAGAAGTTCATGGCTGGAAGTCAAGAAGTCACTTGCTACTTACCAAACCTCTTATAACCGAAGGACTGCACCTCCTCTTCATCAGCAAAGTCGTCTAGAGGGGCAACACAAGAATAAACAAATTAAGCGTGAATTAAAGATACATTGATAAACAGTAAAAACAGAGACTGGAGCACTACTTCATATCGTTACATACTGTAAGTGTATAATCATCTAAATAATAAAACATTCTTGGCTCAAAAAAGATATTTGAAGTCAAGCTTCAGAAGCTCTCACAGTGTTTGCTCATTTTTATGCCAACTCAGCAAACTACAATATATCTGCTAGTGGAGACAAATGAAGTTGAAAGCTTTAGGAAAAAGCTTGTAAAGGGAACTTAATCAGTTTTTTCTAAACCTACTGTTTCCAGAGTAAAGAATAAAGTTTCCTATTAGTCTTATTTAGAGGTTGAATTGTTTAACATTTAACTATTTGCAAACCTTATATGGCCACAGTTATACAGAGTTTGCTTATTCTGGTTTTCAGGCCACTGGAGCCGTGCTTTGTGAAGTGCTTAGTGTTGTTAAAATAAATCACCCTATTGTGCACAGATTAGTTTTGGTCTCCTAAATAATCCCTCTTTTTCTTTCACTGGATGGGATTATTCCCACCTCCCCTCACAAGACCTGAGTGTCGTCACCTTTCAAGGAGCTTAAAACTGCCAGAAATCACAGTGACCTGTGAGTCTACATTTCACAATGGAGTGCAGAGTGGTGGCAGGAACAGTTATAAAAAATATAAAATCACATCTCATTTGAGAAATTGGCCTTTTTCAATACCCCCAATGCCCTGTTTCCTGTTTGTGTGACTATGTCCCTTTACAACTGTTACTGTAGGTATGTTTGGCTTTTCAAGAGCCATTCTGGGAAATGGAGTTCATCACATTTTATGGGAAGGGTTGAAAACTGAGTGGATTTGAAAACAGATATGTCACACAGTTTGGATTGTGGGATGAGTATGGCTATATGGGGACATGATACTTCAGATTCAAGACTGCTGAACATTAAAACAACAGATATCAGGGAGCAGACTGATTTGTAGGCCAAAACATGTTTAGCTGTCTTGGTTACGTTGGTTGAAAAAACAAGAAAACTGACTTTCAGACAAAACCTTTGTCCTTGTAGTGGTTATTTTTTCCAAAATCAAACAAACAGCATCAGAAGGTCACTGAAGCACCCTGAGAATAAACTGTATGCAAGCAAATGAAGTCACTGTCCAGGCACCTCAAGACCTGCATCAGTGAATGATCCACCCGCTGATAAAGGCTTAACATTCCAGAAAAACAAAGATTTTAAACAGATCTTTCCAGGGTCAAGAATGAGCCTTCAAGCTTATGAAGGTATATCATGTTTTATCTGTGCTTGGCCATCAAGAAGACAGACAAGAGCACTCAGAAAGCGCACATACCTCTGCCAAGGCACAACATTCGCTTACACAAATGCTCCCATGTGAACAATTAGGTCCAAAACAGCACAAAATGTGTCCTAAAAATCCTTGATCCGGATTGGATCATGTTTTAGGGTTCTGTCCCCGTTACAGGCCAAGTTATGGCATTAAATATGTGTTAAATAGGGTTTTCAATGTTAACTTTAAATACCAGTCAGATAAACATCGCCACCCTATACATCTATGTCACATTTCATACATTTCTAATTTTTATAACTTTTGATGGAGACATGAACTTTTTAAAAAAATTTTATTTTCCCCAAATTAAAGCTGGAGATTTTTTTTTTGTTTTGTTCTTACAATTTTTTGCGACCTTGACCTTTGACCTTTTTCAGCCAAAATCTAATCATTTCTAGGGTTGGTACCCACTAATGTCTGCACCAAGCATGCTGATGGCCATAATCCTGCAAACCAACATGCACAAAAACATAACCTCCTTAGCAGAGGTAACAAAGAAATGATGGTCTTTGCTGCCTCTGGTAAAAAACTATAGACCCTCTCAGGTACAGGCTGGTCCTACACCTGCCAACCTACACACAGGCGAGGTGTCAATGGCACAAGTTTTTTAAAACCAAGAACTGAAAAATAAAAAATATACTAATAAAACAAAGAGAATAAATCAAATCTTTATAAATCAGTAACCTCCTACAGTCTTCTGTGAACACCTCCACGGAGGTCAGTGTTGAAAGTCCCATTGTCTCTCACTGTAATTTTGGCTGCAATAGGAATTGGCCCACATGCCAGTCAAAAAACATTTAGTGTAAAAGCTGAGAGTTGTTTACAGTACAAGCACAGTTCAGAGTGAGGTAGTACTGTGTAATGGACCAGGAGGTGGCAGAAGTCCAGACCGGTTTGCTGACTTTGCCTACTGGGGAGAAGAACAGTGTTAAAGTAGTTTAGTCTACTGTACAAGTACAATCTTTATTTTAATCCACCAGCCACTCACTGACTGACCACCGGTCCATACACAATGTTTTGCTCTTTCATGTAGTGTTGAAAAGCAGTGCAGAGCTGTACCACAAAAAAAAAAAAAAAAAGTTCAGGCACAGTTAAGTCTGACTCAGTGTTTCCTTCAGTGCTGCTGATTCCTTTAAGCCAAGACAAATTTTTAATCCAACAAGTCTTCAAGTGTGCAGGCCTCATTAAATTGAAAGAAGGGATCTTAAACCACAAATAATATATATTTGTTACTAACATAAGTGATTTGCTTTCTTGGTATAGCGCTATAATCGTGTGCTCTGTTGTGAATAGCTCCCTTAGTGCAGTGTTTGATGTGCAGCAGCAGCCAGATGCAAAACAGTCCCAAACAGAGTCCCTTAATTGGAACCAGATGTCAGACAGGAGCTGAAGCCCACACATTCCTCACGTCTAGGACTGAGCAAAATAGAGCAGAAAAGTGACAAGGAAAGAGGAATGCTGTTCAAGCAGATAATAGATCAGGCTGTCTTTAATGATACTGTGGTGTGGTGTGGTATGCATCCTATTTGTATGGTTGCTTATGCCACAAATTGAGCCTACCTTTCATTGTGGTTTACAGGACTCTACACCGTCGTGAAGCTGTTGTTTGAAGTCACATCCACAGCATCGCAGGGGCATTTGCCCAAAAGCTCCCCTTGGATTTGCGTGTATCCCAGTGTCCCAAGTTTTAGGGTAACAAAATATAAACATTCAAAGTTCCATCCGTAAGTCTTGCGGCTGGAGGTAGTCTCCCCTCACCTCCACAGGTAACGTCAGTGCTGCACCAGATGCTGCAGGAGGGAACTCTGTTGAAAGTGGGGAATGCAAGTTGGAGTTATACGAGCAACGCGGTGGGGGTGGGATATGGAGGGGGGGAACTTATTTATCTGGTACTTTGAAAAGATGCTGAGTTGTGGGTGTATTCAGCCGCAGCAGTTACCACAGAAACTCAAAAAGTGTAGGAATCTCAAGTGTAGTGAGAGGAAATCGTACCTGTGGAGCTGCTCGGAGGAACCACGTGTCCCCACATTTGTGCGCATCCTCTGCAGCCGTGGCTGTGTATACTTCTTTATTTTTATTGCGCACAATAACGCTGACTGTGTACCAGTAACAGTAGTGTCACATCGCATTGTATAGCAAATCAACTATTAACCGGCATAATTAATTAGCGGGCTTTAGCTTTGTGCAGCAAGTGGGTTTGTGGATGTCAAAATAAAAGCTTTCACGCTGTGTTTTGAAATGTATTAGCACAATATGTTCACATTACAGTGGGACACTGCATTGGTGTTATTTTACAAAAGCCAAAGCCTCTGACTCATCAGTGTAGGGTTAATTGTAACTGTAAATACGGAAAACCACGAGTATGTTTGTTCCATCCTTTGTAGATTCCATTTTATTTTGAAAATGTTAGAAAAGCTGCGGCTGACTGCAGAAAACCGTAAACTAAGCACAATTTTGTGTGTAATAAAATGTTCCCGGTATAGGTAACTATTTCCTACAAAGTAGAGAACTTTTATTTTGAAAAACATTAAGTCAATTTAAGTCAAAAGATTTGTTGCAATAATTTAAACATGAATGTAACATTGTCATTACACAGTTTTGCAATATTTCTAAAATTGGAGAAAACCATTTGAGCCTTCATTTCAGGCCTGCATTAATGATTTTTTTGGCCATAATAACTGACTTTCAGCTGCTCTAAGCTCCACTATGTTCACCAGCTAGTCACAAGCTGTCTACTGTTTGGTGCTGGGCATGACCTACTATAGAACGTTTTTTGGTGAACAACAAAAACAATTGTTGTGGACAATAAACCAAAACAATGAGCTGGGGGGAACTGCAGGCTTAGGAGATAATTCCCTATTGGTGGTTTATCACTATGAGCAATGTCTTTAACATTACGCAGTCATTTGCTCCACTGTTAATATAATATATATTGATTTAGACCATCTTACTAAGTGTCCATTAACAAATGTCACAAGGTCCCACATATATTTATTCTTATCATCTGTTGTTAGCTAGCCATGAATTGTACTGAAACGCAAAATATCCATCATGCAAGTTACAAATGAACTTGTCTGCACAATAACTGTTACTAATTTTATGTGGAGTTTCTATTTCTCACACACTTGTTGTATGGCCATTATTATAATTTAAACTGAGGAAATTTCTGCTACTTATTTTGCTCTGAACTTTTTATACCAAACCTCAAACAAAACTCCACACAGTTCCCAGACCAAGGTTTAAACATTTCATCCTTGTCGTCTGCAGAGGAGTTTATCCCCTGCACTTGTCCACCTCTTCGGTCTAAGACTCTAACACTTAGGTTGAACCAGTTATATGGTCTTGCTGTAACAACCTGAAGGAGTTTAAAAAGCTCTCTAAGAGCAGCAGCATATCAGCTATCAGCTATCAGAAAAAAAAAACTTGCCTGTGTGGAGGAGCTTTTTGTTATGCATTTATTCCTCTATGACTGATTGTGCACATGTATTGTAGCTGCAGACCTTTTCATGTTTAGGTCAACACAGGCAGAATGTCTCTCTCTGCAGTTGGTGTTATAGGAACCAGCTGTGGAAGGTGTCACTGAGGATGCAGACTGGCCTGAGTCATTGGCTGGTTTTGATTATAATCTAGTAAGGAGCCTGTTTTCTGGGTCATAGCATGTAAAGAAACCACATTTTGAAGGGAATGGGACACTGGTGAGGAGATGGGGGGCCCTCTTACCCTGAACAGTGGAGACACTAAAGAGCTTCCTAATGAGAGAAATATTTTTCTTTACTTAAATACTCATCTGATTATATAGAGCTAAGAATAACTGCAAGTAATTTCTAAATGACAGAATAAAGTTACCTATTGCCTTTTTACAAGCATTAATATTGGCATGTTGAATAATTACAGTATATATAATTACAGTACACATGTAATTTAAAATAGAGATAACTTTGCTAGAACTGTCTTGGTGCATCTGAGGACTGATCCTTGTGTATGTGTTGCATTAAGGATTACCCACTGAGATGGTTTAGGAGCTGATGTCAGTTGCCCCCAAAGGGCCCAACCCACATAACTTATAGGCATATTAATTTAACATGTTTCAGTGTTTGTGTGTATAAGAAGCATTTCCAAACTATGTTGCACATACACTTCTGTTTTACCAGTTTGATACATATTTTCACAAAGTGCTTTTCTTAAAAAATAAGCTTAGTCTTTCATTAATGTCTGGCTGAAATATTGTTGGCAGAAATCATAGCAGTATCACAAGAAGAAAACACCTGTCTGTACTTCACATGCTGGACAATATGGTATAAACTTTATCATCTTTCCTTTCCCTGGAGTACAGCTGAATCTTTTTGGTTTCTTAATTTAATGATTATGAGTCTAATCTTAAAGGTGCACAAAAAGATACCTGACTTCTGAACTATTGTTGTGTGACATATCCTGGCAGCAAATGAATAGTAAACTTCCCCAGGTGTAGACCATGTCTGTTATGATTAAACAACCTATTCTGCAAAGCAAACCTCTCTGGCAGCCTGGTGAATGCTGGATTACTGTGCATCAACATCAAGCAAAGTCAGTAATAGGATAAAGCTGAAGTGGAAAGAGCACAAAATAGACCTGACCAGGTCAAGATCCCTTCACGACTACTGTGCACACAGCGTTTAGTTGATTCCTGTCAGTGGAGAAACACCTCAGCCTTCTGCTGGTAAGTTTCCTTATTGTCATGATTTTTTATTTTATTTTATCTGTCAACTTTGCTTTTCATATGTGTTTTTTTGAATAGGTCCTTATAACATGATGCATTTCTAGTGAATACTTGTCTCTAAGAATAAACAAATGAATGAACATTGACAAAAAGTTCTTATCCTTACAAGTACAGTGAGGAACAGAAGTATTTGAACACCCTGCGATTTTGCAAGTTCTCCCACTTAGAAATCATGGAGGGGTCTGAAATTCACATTGTAGGTGCATTCCCACTCAGAGACAGAATTAAAAAAAATTTCAGGAAATCACATTGTATGATTTTTAAAGAATTTATTTGTCTTGCACTGCTGAACATAAGTATTTGAACACCTGAGAAACAGCAAGAATTCTGGCTCTCAAAGACCTGTTACTGTGCCTTGAAAAAGTCCACCTCTACTCCACTCATTAATCTAAATTAGTAGCACCTGTCTGAGCTCTTTAAAGACACCTGTCCACCCCACAGTCAGTCAGACGCCAACTACTACCATGGGCAAGACCAAAGAGCTGTCAAAAGACACCAGAGACAAAATTATGGACCTCCACAAGGCTGGAAAGGGCTACAGGGCAATTGCCAAGCAGCTTGGTGAAAATAGATCAACTGTTGGAGCAATTGTTAGAAAATGGAAGAGGCTAAAGACGACTGTCAGTCTCCCTCGGACTGGGACGCCATGCAAGAGCTCACCTCGTGAGGTATCACTGATTATAAGAAAGGTGAGGAATCAGCCCAGAACGATAGGGAGGAGCTGGTCAATGACATGAAGAGAGCTGGGACCACAGTTCTGTCGGTAGAACACTACGCTGTCATGGTTTCAAATCATGCATTGCACGGAAGGTTCCCCTGCTCAAGTCATCACATGTCCAGGCCCGTCTGAAGTTTGCCAAAGACCATCTGGATGATCCAGAGGAGGCATGGGAGAAAGTCATGTGGTCAGATGAGACCAAAGTAGAACTTTTTGGTCTAAACTTCACTCATCGTGTTTGGAGGAAAAAGAAGGATGAGATGCATCCCAAGAACACCAACCCTACTGTGAAGCATGGGGGTGGAAACATCATGCTTTGGGGGTGCTTTTCTGAGAAGGGGACAGGACGTCTGCACTGTATTAAGGAGAGGATGAATGGGGCCATTTATTGTGAGATTTTGAGCAACAACCTCCTTCCCTCAGTCAGAGCATTGAAGATGGGGCGTGGCTGGGTCTTCCAACATGACAACGACCCGAAGCACACAGCCAGGATAACCAAGGAGTGGCTCCGTAAGAAGCATATCAAGGTTCTGGAGTGGCCTGGCCAGTCTCCAGACCTTAATCCAATAGAACATCTTTGGAGGGAGCTTAAACTCCACGTTGCTCAGCGACAGCCCCGAAACCTGACAGATCTAGAGGAGATCT